CTCCCGGCCCTGGGATGCAGCCGTCTCTGGGGCGGAGCGCAGCAGCTGGTCGCCATGCACAGTAACAGGACAGGAAGGATCCCGAGTGTGTCCCCAGGACGCTCGGGGCGAGAGAGCAGCCAGGACTCCTGGGTACTCAGCTGTCTCAGCACGGGGGGGCTGCGGAGCTGCCTCCCAGGGCACCTGGGGCTGGAGAGGGACAGTGGATCTGGAGTGCCCCCGTCAGTGCCTGATTCCCTGGGCTGCCCCCCCAGCCCATGTTCCCGCCTCCCTCCAGCCATGCCCCAGTCACCCCCTGTGAGGATGGGGGGGAGTGTTGACCTGGGAATGTGCCCTGGGGATGGGAGACCTGAGAGCCTGTCCCCTGAGCCGGGAGGGGGAGGTGACACCTCTGCCCGGGAAACAGGACAAAGGCTGCAGGAGGGGGCCTGCTGGGGGGGTTTAGTTTTCAGTTTGGGGCTGGGTGGAGGAACGCAGGGAACCCCAGGGCTGGGGTCTGAGCTCCCTGCTCCCCCAGAAGGACTTGACTGAGGGGTCCTGGCTGTACCCACAAGCTCTGTTTTGGACTGTGTTCCTGTTGTCCAATAAACCTTCTGTTTTACTGGCTGGCTGAGAGTCACGGTGAGTCCCTGGAAGAGGGGTGCAGGGCCTGGACTCCCCCACACTCCGTGACACCCCCAGCCTGTGCCTCAGTTGACCCCCCAGCCCCGCCCCCGTGGCCCCCCAGCCGCACCCACCTGCAGATGAGCATGATCCAGTTGTACAGGATGGGAACCACCATGATACTGAGCCACCAATAGTGCACATCCCCGGAGGGGTCCAGGACCCAGGTCCTCGGGGCACGGCCCCCGCTGCTGGGAGACACGCGTGGGCTTTAGTGCCTGGCGCCGGCTCTGAGCTCCCCGGGCTCCGGCGCGTGGTGCCCGGTGGCTCTGTGCCCTGGGTGGCAGGGCGGCACCAGTGGGCAGGGATCAGTGCGCTGGGGAGGGCAGCGATGGCTCCCTGGGGTGCTGCCCCTGTCCCTGACCCTGCCCTGGTCTCTGTGCGCCCACAGGGATGCGTCCATAACCTGGGCTGGCAAAGCCCCCAGGCCCCGGATATCCTGGCCCAGGCCCTGCTGCCTCTCTCCAGCATCCCGTGGGGCTGGGGCTCCCGGGACCCCACTCCCCAGCCCTGCTCCGCACCCCCGGGACCCGCCTCGGGACTGACACTGTGCCTGCGGATCGCTCAGCGCGTGGGGCACCGGGGAGCTCTGCCCCCCCACTCACCCCTCTGCAGGCCCCACACCTGCGCTGGACTGCACCGTGCTGATCAGCCCCCTCCTGCCCGCCTCGGGCCGGGCGGTGGCCTGCGGCTGGCGGCTCATGCTGGCACTGGGATGGGTGAGGTGCCAGGTGTGTCCCTGCGAGCCTGGCCTGGAGCAGCGGCTCCTCCGGCTTTGGCAGCTCACGCTGGATCTTAGCAACCGTGCCGGGGCCCCATGGGGCCCTGCGCACCTGAGCCCGGAGCCTGTGAAACTAAAGGCCCAATCAGGCCGGGTGCCAGTCTGTAATGGCTGCCCCGGGGAGCGGCTGGGAGCAGCCGGCAGGTTAGAACCACCGCAGGGCCCCTGAGGGCAGCACACCGGCTAACAGCCTGCCGGGCCGGCTCTCGGAGCCAGGGCCTCACTGTGACCACGTGGGTAGCGGGTGGCGAAATCCATCACCCCCACGACGTATTTCTTCCCTGCCCGGATCGCCTTGCCGAGGGGCCCCACTATGTCCATAGCCACCTTCTGGAAAGGCTCCTCTATGATGGTGTGATGAAGTGGGACTGTTCTTAATGTTTCTGCTGAATAGTGTGGAGTGCCTCAGTTTCCCCTATGCAGTTCTTAAGTACCTAGGTGGTGGGAATAAGGGTGTCTGATCCTTGCAGAGCCCTAGAGGGCAGGTGTTGCAGGGGTCTGGACACAGAGAATGGCTGACACCCTGTTTCCTGGCCACTGATGGCCTGGGCCCTTCCCCCTGCAAGGTGAGAGCTAAAGGGTTGGAGAACAAAGGAATCCGGTGCCCTCCTGGCCCGGGAAAGGGACAAAGCCCAGAGGAGGAGGGGCTGGGGGGAGTTTCAGTTGGGGGCTGGCTGGGGACATGGAGTGAAGGGCAGACGTAGTTGTCTGGCTCACTGCCCCCCAAAATGGACCCGGCTGAGGGGTCCCGTTCTCTGCACCTCAAGCTCTGTGTTAGACCATGTCCCTGTCGTCAAATAAACCTCCTGTTTCCCCGGCTGGCTGAGAGTCACGTCTGACTGCGGAGTTGGGGGGCAGGACCCTCTGGTTCCCTCCCCGCCAGGACTCCACCTGGGCGGACTCGCTGTGGGAAGCGCACAGAGGGGCAGAGGAGGCTGAATGCTCCGAGGTCAGACCCAGGAAGGTGGAAGCTGTGTGAGCTGTGTGTCCTGCAGACAGGCTGCTCCCAGAAAGGAGACTTCCCCAGAGTCCTGCCTGGCTTCCTGGGGAGCAGTCCCAGAGCATCGCCCGGGGACTCCGTGACAGATGGGCAGGGGTCTCAAGGGAGCTTCTCCCTTATCCCGGCCTTCCCCACGCTCTGGCCGGGGTTGCAGGACCTGCCGTGCCGCTGGGCCGCGTCCCAGACTCCAGGTCAGTCGTGGTTCTGCAGCAGCCGCTGCCTGGGGCCTGGATCCCCTGGTGTCCCGAGAGAGGGTCATTGTGGGCCAGGTACGACAGCCGGCGGCGACACTTCTGGGGCACCCCCAGCGGCCTCCTGATCCCCCACGGTTCTACTTCCCCTGGGGGAGCCCCTTCTCGGTACAGGAATCCCTTCTCCCACGGGAATCTGTCCCTGCAGCCTTCCCCACGGGGGTTTGCAGCCTGTGGCCAGCAAGTCCCCTCAGCTCCTCCTAGGAGGGATCCTTCCGTAGCTCGGTCTGGAATTCAGGTGCTGGGGGAGGGAGTGGGACCTGCTCCCTCTCGTGGGCTGGGCCTGGGGTCACAGCCCCGCTGAGCCCTGTCCCTGGTCGCTCCCTCCCTGCCCTGGGATCACTTCCCAGCAGCGTCTCTGGACCAGCTAAACCTGGTTGGCAGCCGAACTGCCCTGCCTGTGGGTCCCCCCCCTCAACTGGGGTCTCAGCTCCCCCCTTGCTCAGCGCTGCCCTTGCTGTCCCAGTGGGGGCAGGCAGCGAGCTCTCTGCTCTCCTTACAGCATCGGAGCCAGCGTGAGCCCCCACTCCGGTGGGCAAGGGAGCGGGGAGCATCTCTCTGTCTCACCCAGCCCCAGGGGGCTGGTCACAGGCAGGCAGGTAGCCTGAGCCTAGCCGATCCTCCCCCCTGCCAGCCCGGTCATCTGCATTTTCACTGACCATTTCCCTCTCCGCCGATTGGTCCCCTGGATTCAAATTCAAACCCTTGGCCGTTACAGGAGCAGGGCCTGGATCCCCCCAACAGGGTCTCGCAGCCCATATCCTGGAGAGCCCCAACGACCAGCCAGCCCCACCCCTCCTGGGTCTGCACAGGGATCTGGGCCACAGGCAGGGCGAGGGGCTTCGTCCCTGGGACCCTCACCCAGCTCACCCAGCCCCTCATGCCCCTCCTCCGCCGCTTTGTCTCGCTTCCCAGCAAAAGGTGTCACCTGGTCGCACCCCCTCTGGGTCTCTGGTCACACAGGTGCAAACAGCTGGGCAGCCTCACCTGCCCTGAGGGCCTCAGCAAAATCACACCCCCAGTTCCCACCCCCGCAGGGTTGGCGCAGCACCCAGGGAAACTGAGGCAGGGCCAGGGTGGGGCGGCGGACAGGGAAACTGAGGCCGGGCCAGGGCGGGGAGCGCCAGGAAGAGTGACCTGCAGCGCGAGGAGAGGAATGACACCCCGCTGCGGCAGGCGGGGGGCAGGGCCGCCCCCACATCAGGGAAGCCCCGCCCCGCCCCTTCCCGGCCCCGCCCCCCGCCGCGGCCCCGCCCCGCCCCTTCCCGGCCCCGCCCCCCGCTGCGGCCCCGCCCCTGAGCGGCCGCCTGCTGGTCCAGGCGGCAGCGAGGCCCCGCCCCCAGCGCGGTGGGCGGGGCCTGGGCGGCCCCGGAAGGGCGGGGCTCGGCGCGCGCCCGGGGCGTCGGTGGGAGGCGGCGGCAAGATGGCGGCGGCTGGAGCGGGGGATGGGCCGGGCCGGTGAGAGCCACACGGGGGGGCCGGGGGGGGCGCTGGGGGGGTGACGCGGGGGGCTCCGGGCGGGGGCCGGGGGGGGGCTGGGGGTGACGCGGGGGGCCGGGGGGTACGTGGGGGGCGCGGGGGGCGTGGGGCCCGGGCGGGGGCCGGGGGGTAACGTGGGGGGCGCTGGGGCCGTGGGGGGCGCTGGGGGTGACGTGGGGGGGCGGGGGTCCGGGGGGGGACCGGGGGGGCGCTGGGGGGTGACGCGGGGGCCGGGGGGGTAACGTGGGGGGCGCTGGGGCTGACGCGGGGGGCTCCGGGGGGTGCGCGGGGGGCGCTGGGGGACGGGCGGGGGCGCTGGGGGGTGACGCGGGGGGCGCTGGGGGGTGACGCGGGGGGGGGGTAACGTGGGGGGCTCCGGGGGGCCCGGGTCTCACTGGCGCTTTCCCTGGTTTGTTCCCAGCCCTGGCGCTGCTCGGACATGAACCCGGGTCACCTCCGCTCCCAGGTAACGGGGTCTGGGGAGGGTTGGCGGGGGGCTGGGGGGGAGGGGCCGGGCTGGGGAGGGTTGGCGGGGGGCTGGGGGGCAGAGGGGCCGGGCTGGGGAGGGTTGGCGGGGGCTGGGGGGCAGAGGGGCTGGGCTGGGGAGGGTTGGCGGGGGGCTGGGGGGCAGAGGGGCTGGGCTGGGGAGGGTTGGCGGGGGGCTGGGGGGCAGGGGGGGCTGGGGAGGGTTGGCGGGGGGCTGGGGGGGGAGGGGCCGGGCTGGGGAGGGTTGGCGGGGGCTGGGGGGCAGAGGGGCCGGGCTGGGGAGGGTTGGCGGGGGGCTGGGGGGCAGAGGGGCCGGGCTGGGGAGGGTTGGCAGGGGGCTGGGGGGCAGAGGGGCCGGGCTGGGGAGGGTTGGCGGGGGGCTGGGGGGCAGAGGGGCCGGGCTGGGGAGGGTTGGCGGGGGGCTGGGGGGCAGAGGGGCCGGGCTGGGGAGGGTTGGCGGGGGGCTGGGGGGCAGAGGGGCCGGGCTGGGGAGGGTGGGGGGTGGGGGGGCGGGGGGGGCGGGGGTGGGGGGGGGGGGCGAGGGGCCGGGCTGGGGAGGGTTGGCGGGGGGCTGGGGGGCGAGGGGCCGGGCTGGGGAGGGTTGGCGGGGGGCTGGGGGGGCGAGGGGCCGGGCTGGGGAGGGTTGGCGGGGGGCTGGGGGGCGAGGGGCCGGGCTGGGGAGGGTTGGCGGGGGGCTGGGGGGCAGAGGGGCCGGGCTGGGGAGGGTTGGCGGGGGTCTGGGGGGCAGAGGGGCCGGGCTGGGGAGGGTTGGCGGGGGGCTGGGGGGCAGAGGGGCCGGGCTGGGGAGGGTTGGCGGGGGGCTGGGGGGCAGAGGGGGGGTCTGGGGGGCGAGGGGCCAGGCTGGGGAGGGTTGGCGGGGGTCTGGGGGGGCGAGGGGCCGGGCTGGGGAGGGTTGGCGGGGGTCTGGGGGGCAGAGGGGCCGGGCTGGGGAGGGTTGGCGGGGGGGGCTGGGGGGCAGAGGGGCCGGGCTGGGGAGGGTTGGCGGGGGTCTGGGGGGGGCAGAGGGGCCGGGCTGGGGAGGGTTGGCGGGGTCTGGGGGGCAGAGGGGCCGGGCTGGGGAGGGTTGGGGGGGTGGGGGGCAGAGGGGCCGGGCTGGGGAGGGTTGGCGGGGGGCTGGGGGGCAGAGGGGCCGGGCTGGGGAGGGTTGGGGGGGGGGGGGGGGGGGGGGGCGGGGGGTTTGGGGGGGGGGGGCAGAGGGGCCGGGCTGGGGAGGGTTGGGGGGTTGGGGGCAGAGGGGGGGCTGGGGGGGGGTGGAGGGCAGAGGGGCCGGGCTGGGGAGGGTTGGCGGGGGGCTGGGGGGCAGAGGGGCCGGGCTGGGGAGGGTTGGCGGGGGCTGGGGGGCAGAGGGGCCGGGCTGGGGAGGGTTGGCGGGGGGCTGGAGGGGCGAGGGGCCGGGCTGGGGAGGGTTGGCGGGGGGGCTGGGGGGGCGAGGGGCCGGGCTGGGGAGGGTTGGCGGGGGGCTGGGGGGCGAGGGGCCGGGCTGGGGAGGGTTGGGGGGGTGGGGGGCAGAGGGGCGGGTGGGGGCAGAGGGGCCGGGCTGGGGAGGGTTGGCGGGGTCTGGGGGGCAGAGGGGCCGGGCTGGGGAGGGTTGGGGGGGGGGGCAGAGGGGCCGGGCTGGGGAGGGTTGGCGGGGTCTGGGGGGCAGAGGGGCCGGGCTGGGGAGGGTTGGCGGGGGGCTGGAGGGGCGAGGGGCCGGGCTGGGGAGGGTTGGCGGGGGGCTGGAGGGGCGAGGGGCCGGGCTGGGGAGGGTTGGCGGGGGGCTGGGGGGCAGAGGGGCCGGGCTGGGGAGGGTTGGCGGGGGGAGAGGGGGGGGGGGGGGTTGGGCGGGGGGCTGGAGGGGCGGGGGCGGGCTGGGGGGGGGGTTGGGGGGGGGGGGGGGGGGGGGGGGGGGCGGGGGCGGGGGAGGGTTGGCGGGGGGCTGGAGGGGCGAGGGGCCGGGCTGGGGAGGGTTGGCGGGGGGGCTGGAGGGGCGAGGGGCCGGGCTGGGGAGGGTTGGCGGGGGGCTGGGGGGGCAGAGGGGCCGGGCTGGGGAGGGTTGGCGGGGGGCTGGGGGGCAGAGGGGCCGGGCTGGGGAGGGTTGGCGGGGTCTGGGGGGCAGAGGGGCCGGGCTGGGGAGGGTTGGCGGGGGGCTGGAGGGGCGAGGGGCCGGGCTGGGGAGGGTTGGCGGGGGGCTGGAGGGGCGAGGGGCCGGGCTGGGGAGGGTTGGCAGGGGGTGGGGGGCGAGGGGCCGGGCTGGGGAGGGTTGGCAGGGGGTGGGGGGGCATGGGCAGAGGGGAGGGGGACGCAGAGGGCTCCAAGCGGGTAGGGGGCGCTGTCTCGGGGCCATGGGATTGGTTGGCCAGGCGGTGGGGGGGTCGCCAGCCCTGGCCATTGGTCCCTTGGCATGGGCTGGCCTTGTGCCCGCTGCTCGAGGACTGGCACTGGCCCGGGCTCCGGCCTGGGACGAGGGGCTGCGGCTGTTGTGGGGCCGGGGAGGGGGTGGGCGCAGCCTGCTGGGGGCTGGGGCAGGGGAACACCCCCCATTGCGTGAGGGGAGGGGAAGGTGGGCAGCTGGCCCTCCCCTGAAGAGCCTCACCCTCCTGGACTGGGGAGGCAGTGGCCCCACTTGGCGGTCTCCTGAAGACTGAATATGGGGCGGCCCCACGGCCGGCCCCCGGAGAGCATGGCGGGGGAGGGGCTGACCCAGAAGATTCCAAGGGTGAGTCGGGGGCTGCTGAGGTGTGTTTTCGAGGCCAGAGCTGGGCCCTGGCGCGGTGCCCGGTGCCCAGTCTGCTGGTCCCAGCGTCGCTCGGTGCAAGCTGGCCCTGGCTGGGTGCAGGGGGAGGCACCGGGCAGGTGTGGGGGGGTAGGCGGGAGAGGGGAGGGCGGGTGGGTGTGGGGGGGGGCGTGGCTCACCCAGGCCCTGGCGGGGCGGGGGGGGCGGGTGGGTGGGGGGCGTGGCTCACGAGGCCTGGGGGGAGGGGGAGGGGCCGGGTGGGTGTGGGGGGCGTGGCTCATGCAGGCCCTGGCCAGGTGCAGGGGGAGGGGCCGGGTGGGTGTGGGGGGCGTGGCTCACCCAGGCCCTGGCCGGGAGCAGGGGGAGGCGCCGGGTGGGTGTGGGGGGCGTGGCGTGGCTCACCCAGGCCCTGGCCGGGTGCAGGGGGAGGCGCCGGGTGGGTGTGGGGGGCGTGGCTCACCCAGGCCCTGGCCGGGTGCAGGGGGAGGCGCCGGGCGGGTGTGGGGGGCGCGGCGTGGCTCACGCAGGCCCTGGCCGGGTGCAGGGGGAGGCGCCGGGTGGGTGTGGGGGGGCGGGGGGCTACGCGGGGGGGGAGGGGGGGGGCGGGCGGGTGTGGGGGCGCGGCGTGGCTCACGCAGGCCCTGGCCGGGTGCAGGGGGAGGCGCCGGGCGGGTGTGGGGGGCCCGGCGTGGCTCACGCAGGCCCTGGCTGGGTGCAGGGGGAGGCGCCGGGCGGGTGTGGCGGGCGCGGCTCACGCAGGCCCTGGCTGGGTGCAGGGGGAGGCGCCGGGCGGGTGTGGGGGGCCCGGCGTGGCTCACCCAGGCCCTGGCCGGGTGTAGGGGGAGGTGCCGGGTGGGTGTGGGGGGCGTGGTTCACCCAGGCCCTGGCCGGGTGCAGGGGGAGGCGCCGGGCGGGTGTGGGGGGCGCGGCGTGGCTCACCCAGGCCCTGGCTGGGTGCAGGGGGAGGCGCCGGGCGGGTGTGGGGGGCCCGGCGTGGCTCACCCAGGCCCTGGCCGGGTGCAGGGGGAGGCGCCGGGTGGGTGTGGGGGGCGCGGCGTGGCTCACCCAGGCCCTGGCCGGGTGCAGGGGGAGGCGCCGGGCGGGTGTGGCGGGCGCGGCTCACGCAGGCCCTGGCCGGGTGCAGGGGGAGGCGCCGGGCGGGTGTGGGGGGCCCGGCGTGGCTCACCCAGGCCCTGGCCGGGTGCAGGGGGAGGCGCCGGCGGGTGTGGCGGGTGCGGCGTGGCTCCCGACTGGTACCAGGAAGCCCCGGGACTGGAGCCGGGTCCCTGTTCCAGGGAGCTGGGCTGGCTTTTGCCGCCAGCGGTGCTTGTCCTCGTGGCGTCTGCTCTCCTGCGCCGTGGCCTAGACCTGCATCGCGCCGCTGAAGATGCCGTCGCTTGGCTCACCGCGCGCACACGCGGAATCGGTGGCTCACTGCTGCCTTTGTTGGGCTCGGGGCTGCCGGCTTGCCAGCCGTGCGGCTTGCCAGCGTGCCTGCCTGGCCACGTGCAGATGTGAGGCGCTGTCTGGCCGGCCTCGGGGGTGGGAATCCCGGGAGCTGGCTTGGCGGGCTGGGGGAGTGCTCTGTGCCCCGGGGCCGGGCAGACACTCTCCTGGCTGGGCGAGGGGTTCTCAGCCGCTGGCATGTGCCCGCCTGGTGCGGGATTGCCCATCCAGCCCAAGCTCCCTGGAGGGTGAGCGTGTCGTGCGTGGCAGGAGCTGGGCGTGGGCTGGGGTTCCGGTGGCTGTAGCCTGTGGACGGCGGGGGCTCGCTGGGCTCCGGGATGTGGGAGTCCTGCCTCTGGCCGGCATCCGCTCCGAGAGTGGGTGGCTCCGCACCGAGGCAGCTGGGTCCTCGCAGCTCCCCCCGGGTCCCCTGCCCAGCACGGGCATGCCCCAGCCTGGCCCCGGTGCCCTGCCAGCTGAGCGCTGGGCTGGAGTGGTCTGTAGCTCGGGTCTCCGAGAGGGCCGCAGGCTGGGCCAGTGACCCTTGAGCCCCCCAGTGCGCTCAGGCGGGTCCAGTGGGTCTGTTTTATTCAGCCTTAGTGGAGTAAACCCCAAAGGGCGTCTCCCCGCCTGCTGCCCTGGGTCTAGGTCCACCCTTCCCCTGGGCCCCGCGGGCGTGGTGCAGCTGGGAGGGGTAGCACTGCCCTGCGGGAGCTTCCTGGTGCCCGCTGCTCCTGCAGCCCTCGCCGCCTGCCCGGCGCTCTGGGAAGGAGAAGGCACGACGGCCCAAAGGCAGGCCATGAGCGGCCCTGCTCCCAGATCCCCTTGCTTGGCAGCTGCCAGGCTGGGCTTTGGCGGAGAGTGGCAGCCGGTGGGGAGGGGTTCACACCTCAGCCTGGGCCCCGACAGCTGTGCTGGGCTTCGGCTCCGCATGGAGCCCCAGAGGGACGGCCTGGGCCCTCGCAGGGAGTGGGGGCGAAGTCACAAGGCCTTGCCTCCCCGCCAGAGTGGCTGGCGCTGCGTGGGCCGACGGATCCACGCCCTCCTCCCGGCGATGCAGCGTCTCTTGTGGGGAGCAGGCAGCTAGAAGGGGAGGGGAGGGGATGGCAGCCCAGACTCGGGGTTCTCCCGGGCTCTCTGGCCCCAGTGAGCCCGGCACCCGGCGGGAGAGCGTGCTGCCCGCAGGCTGAGTGCTCGGTAGGGTGGGACGTGGTAACGAGGCCTCCTCTTAGGGCAGTGCCCTTGTGTGCCCCGAGGAGTGTGCAGCCTGTGGGCAAAACAAACTGACGGGGAACACGAGGAACCGGGGAACTGGCTGCTGCCTCAGTTTCCCTGCCTGTGTCATGCCCAGGCCCATAGAGCAGGTCAGAGACAGAGCAGAACAAGACCCTGGTACTTCCCGGGAGCCAGGCGAGGGCACGTGTTCGGCTGGGCAAAGAACAAGGTCCCTCTGGTGGGGGGCATCCAGGGGGCCTCTCCACGCTGCTGGCCTGCAGTCTGTGACCCACGCCACGCCCAGGCTGGGGGGCTCGTGGGCTGGGCCTGTGCAGCGCTAGCCCCTCCCACTTCCCAGTCGCTCTGCCCAGGTTTGTGCTGGGCTGGCAAGTGGCCAGGCTTGTGCAGACGGGCTCTGCCTTGGAGCCCGGGCTGTTGGCATGTGGGGGTGCCCAGCAGCGGGCTCAGCGTCAATGCCAGGCCTCGGCCCCCTGGGGGGATGCAGGCAAAGGAGCTGGCTCTTGGCATCGTGCTGCCCTGGGGGTGCTAGCTGCTTACTCGCTGGTGCCACTGGGAGCTGGGCACCCTTCCCCTCCGCTTCTCGGCGTGTGCTGGAAAGCCCAGTGCCACACGCCAGCAGGGAGATCCTCAGCCAGGCCTGGGGCGTGGCCCGATAGGGAGTGGGGAGACCACCCGGCACAGGGGCAGCAGTGGGGATCCCCCCGGGCTCCATGTTTCCGTTCTCTGCCAGGCACAGTGCAGCTCTGTGTGTTGCCCGCGGGTGTGCCAGCTGGCGGTGCTCACGGGGGGAGAGGCCAGGCTGTTGGGCGGCACTCCCACCAGAACAGGGACCTTGCTCCGATCCTGGGGCTTCCTGGTACCAGTGCCAGGGTTGCGAGCACTGCCCGGGGCTGGGCGGGATGAGCTGTGCCCACGACCCTGACTCCCAGCCTGCTGCTGCCCCAGCCCTGCACGGCCGGTGCCTCTTGGTCTGCCCCGACCCGTCTGGGGGGGCGCAGGCTGCCCCCTCTGCTGGGGCCCTGGGGGCGCTTGGCTGGTCCAGGCCCTGTTCCTCTGGGCGATGGCCCCCGGTGCCCCGCAGTCACTCGGCTCTGACCCTCTGGCCCCGTTGTCTGTGCAGCCAGACCTCCCGAGGGCTGGCTGCTGCATGCCCACTCGGCACCCTTCCCGGGGCCTGGACTCTCCTCGCGCCAGGGACTGCCCTCCTTTCAGGGTGGCTGTGGTCAGTGCCAGCGGAGGGCCGGGGTCTCCGAGGGGCCCCTCTCCTGCATGGCGCTCGTGTTGCTGGCAGCGCCTGGCTCTGAAACGTGGGCGGGTTCTGCCCCCTCTGCCTCAGTTTCTCTCTTGTGTGGTGGGGACCCTCCCTGCAGGCTGTTGGGCCGGACGTGCTAAGAGGGGTGGGGGCTGGCTGGCGCCCTGTCTCACAAGAGGCCCGGGAGGGGTGGGGAGTGGCAGGCCTCAGGGCTGCTGTGCCCAGGGCCCATGGTGGCGGGTGTGCTGCCGGGCACTGACGGTCCAGGGATGTCTGGACCCCCGGCCCCTCCTCAGCCCTCTGTCCTGCAGCTGGTCGCACCGGCGGGTGGCCTGCAGGGGGCATCCCTGGGTGTCAGTTGCTAGGTCTGGGCAGTTGTCTTCTGGGCCTCTCTGTGGGCCCAGGCCCCTGCGTCAGACCTGGGTCTGTGCAGGGAGCAAACACCCCTCCCCCCAGCTAACCGTGCAGCGCGTGGGGAAAGTGAGGCACGCCCTGGGTTCATCCAGAGCATTGACAAATTCCTGGGTGCAGTTGGAGGTGGTCGTTGCCTGCCCCCGGGCTGTGCCCGCCCTGCGTGTCCTGTGGTGCGGGCAGGAAAGCTGCTGTCCACGGAGGAGGGGTCTGGTCTGCAGGGCGAGTGGCAGGCCAGGTGCTGGGGGGGCTGTGAGCTAGCCATTGCCAGGCCTGGCGGGGGCCCGTCCTCTCCCTCTCCCAGGACAGCCGAGCTTTCGCTCCGACCCCCCGTGCCTGGCACTTCCCCAGCTGGCTCTGGGGGCATCTCCTGGGTCAGGTTCCTGCCTCAGCTAGGACCTGCCCTGTGTCTGCGTGGGGCTGCTGGTGTTGGCGGGAGGGAAAGGCTGGCCGCGCATTGGGGAGATGGCACGTCAGCCGTGTGTGTTCGGCTGTGCCAGCTCTGCGATGGTGTGGGTGAGGCCGAGACAATGCCCATCCCTCGCCCAGCCCGGCCTGCTAGGCGCTGCGTGGGAGCGGGTGTGCCCGCAGGGGAGATGGTGCCCGTCCCTTGCCCAGCCCGGCCTGCTAGGTGCTGCGTGGGAGCGGGCGTGCCTGCTGGGGAGATGGTGCCCGTCCCTTCGCCCAGCCCCGGCCTGCTAGGCACTACTTGGAAGCGGGCGTGCCCGCAGGGGAGACAGTGCCCGTCCTTTGCCCAGCCCGGCCTGCTAGGTGCTGCGTGGGAGCGGGCGTGCCTGCTGGGGAGATGGTGCCCGTCCCTCGCCCAGCCCCAGCCTGCTAGGCGCTGCGTGGGAGCGGGTGTGCCCGCAGGGGAGACGGTGCCCGTCCCTCGCCCATCCCCGGCCTGCTAGGCGCTGCGTGGGAGCGGGCGTGCCCGCTGGGGAGACGGTGCCCGTCCCTCGCCCATCCCCGGCCTGCTAGGCGCTGCGTGGGAGCGGGTGTGCCCGCAGGGGAGACGGTGCCCGTCCCTCGCCCATCCCCGGCCTGCTAGGCGCTGCGTGGGAGCGGGCGTGCCCGCAGGGGAGACGGTGCCCGTCCCTCGCCCATGCCCCGGCCTGCTAGGCGCTGCGTGGGAGCGGGCGTGCCCGCTGGGGAGATGGTGCCCGTCCCTCGCCCAGCCCCGGCCTGCTAGGCACTACTTGGAAGCGGGCGTGCCTGCTGGGGAGACGGTGCCCGTCCCTCGCCCAGCCCAGGGTTGCCTTGGCACCTGGCCAGGCTGGGGGCTGCGGCTGCCTGCCCGGAACGTAGCCGTGTGTCTCTGCCCGTTGGCCTGCACATCAGGGCGCCATGGCCAGCCAAGGGCGGGCAGAGCTGTGGGCCCCGTTCTCGGTGCCCCGGGCTGGTGCTGGCTCTTCCCTTTGCTGCTGCGTTCCATTTCCAGGCTTGGGTGAGATGGCAGCGGGGGGTGGGCATGGCTGTGCCAGCTCTTGGTGCCCATGTGGCCAGCTGGCTCCCTGCCCCACAGTTCCTGGCATGCCGCAACTCGACTCAGAGATTTGTGTCCCTCCTGCCGTGTGGTTCCCCCCGGCCCAGGGTTGCGGCTGGGCCTCTGGCCCCCCGCCCCGTTTGCAGCGGGGGCGTGTGCCGCTCTGCCGTGTCCGGCACTGCCTGTGCCCTGCGCGGGCTGTGGGCTCTAGCTTGTCCTGCATGGCCTGGTGATGCCTCCCGCTATCCTGGCCTGCTCTGGGCATGGCCCAGCCGCCCCGCCCCCCTGCTCCTGGCACAGCCCTGCCTGGCCCCCCGCCCGTTCCCCCAGCAGTCCCTCCGGCCCTTCCCGCAGCCAGATGGGTGGGGCTGGTGGCAGTCAGGGGATCTCTAAGCGATCCCTGGTACTTAAGCTGACCACTAGGAGGCGCTCTCCCCTCAGAGCCTGCGCCAGGTTGATGGGTGTGTGCGTGTGCCTGGCAGACCCTCTCCTGGCGCCGGCGCTGCCCTGTGGGGCTGGGGCAGAGCCTGGCTCCTCTGGCCCCCGGCTCCCCGATTATAGCGGAAAGCCGGCCGGGTGGCCCCGGAGCCACGCTGCCGGGCGTCTCTTCTAGAGCTTGGCCCCTGTGCAGGGCCTGGGGGCCTAGGACTCCTGGCTCCTGCTCGACCCTCGGGGGACATGTCTGAGCCCTTCTACCGAGCTCCCCCTGGAGGAAGAGCGGGACCCCTGGGGTCTGGCCCGCGGAAGAGGACCCTCCAGGGGTGGTTCTGAAGTGGGGGGTGCAGCCCCAGCCCTGGGGATCCATGACAGCACCC